AAGAGAATGGGTAAAAGAAGGATCTCAATTGAGACGGAACTCCGGAAGCTTAAGAGAATGGGTGAAAGAAGAACGTCTCAATTGAGACAGAACTCTGGAACCTTTAGAGAATGGGTGAAAGAAGGAAAAGTCTCAATTGAGACGGAACTCTGGAACCTTTAGAGAATGGGTGAAAGAAGGAAAAGTCTCAATTGAGACGGAACTCCGGAACCTTTAGAGAATGGGTGAAAGAAGGAAAAGTCTCAATTGAGACGGAACTCCGGAACCTTTAGAGAATGGGTGAACGGAACTCCGGAACATTAAGAGAATGGGTGTACGGAACTCCAAAACCTTAAGAGAATGGGTGAACGGAACTCCAGAACCTTTAGAGAATGGGTGAACAAAGGAAAAGTCTCAATTGAGACGGAACTCCGGAACCTTAAGAGAATGGGTGAAAGAAGGAAATCTCAATTGAGACGGAACTCCGAAACCTTAAGAGAATGGGTAAAAGAAGGATCTCAATTGAGACGGAACTCCGGAAGCTTAAGAGAATGGGTGAAAGAAGAACGTCTCAATTGAGACAGAACTCTGGAACCTTTAGAGAATGGGTGAAAGAAGGAAAAGTCTCAATTGAGACGGAACTCCGGAACCTTTAGAGAATGGGTGAAAGAAGGAAAAGTCTCAATTGAGACGGAACTCCGGAACCTTTAGAGAATGCTTTAGAGAATGGGTGAAAGAAGGAAAAGTCTCAATTGAGACGGAACTCCGGAACCTTTAGAGAATGGGTGAACGGAACTCCGGAACATTAAGAGAATGGGTGTACGGAACTCCAAAACCTTAAGAGAATGGGTGAACGGAACTCCAGAACCTTTAGAGAATGGGTGAACAAAGAAAAAGTCTCAATTGAGACGGAACTCCGGAACCTTAAGAGAATGGGTGAAAGAAGAAAGTCTCAATTGAGACGGAACTCCGGAACCTTAAGAGAATGGGTAAAAGAAGGATCTCAATTGAGACGGAACTCCGGAAGCTTAAGAGAATGGGTGAAAGAAGAACGTCTCAATTGAGACAGAACTCTGGAACCTTTAGAGAATGGGTGAAAGAAGGAAAAGTCTCAATTGAGATGGAACTCTGGAACCTTTAGAGAATGGGTGAAAGAAGGAAAAGTCTCAATTGAGACGAAACTCTAGAACCTTTAGAGAATGGATGGGTGAATGGAACTCTGAAACCTTAAGAGAATGGGTGAAAGAAGGAAAAGTCTCAATTGAGACGGAACTCTGGAACCTTTAGAGAATGGATGGGTGAATGGAACTCTGAAACCTTAAGAGAATGGGTGAACGGAACTCCAGAACCTTTAGAGAATGGGTGAAAGAAGGAAGTCTCAATTGAGACAGAACTCCGAAACCTTTAGAGAATGGGTGAAAGAAGGTAGTCTCGGGTGAAAGAAGGATCTCAATTGAGACGGAACTCCGGAACCTTTAGAGAATGGGTGAAAGAAGGATCTCTCAATTGAGACGGAATCCTTTAGAGAATGGGCGAAAGAAGGAAAAGTCTCAATTGAGACAGAACTCCGGAACCTTAAGAGAGTGGGTGAAAGAAGGAAAAGTCTCAATTGAGACGGAACTCTGGAACCTTTAGAGAATGGATAGGTGAACGGAACTCTGGAACCTTATGAGAATGGGTGAATGGAACTCTGGAACCTTTAGAGAATGGGTGAAAGAAGAAAGTCTCAATTGAGACGGAACTCCGGAACCTTAAGAGAATGGGTGAAAGAAGAAAGTCTCAATTGAGACGGAACTCCGGAACGTTTAGAGAATGGGTGAAAGAAGGAAGTCTCGGGTGAAAGAAGGATCTCAATTGAGACGAAACTTTGGAACCTTTAGAGAATGGGTGAAAGAAGGATCTCTCAATTGAGACGGAACCCTTTAGAGAATGGGCGAAAGAAGGAAAAGTCTCAGTTGAGACAGAACTCCGGAACCTTAGAGAATGGGTGAAAGAAGGAAAAGTCTCTCAATTGAGACGGAACTCTGAAACCTTAAACAGAATAGGTGAAAGAATGAAGTCTCAATTGAGACAGAACCAATTGAGACAGAACTCCAGAACCTTAAGAGAATGGGTAAAAGAAGGATCTCAATTGAGACGGAACTCCAGAACCTTTAGAGAATGGGTGAAAGAAGGGAGTCTCAATTGAGACGGAACTCCGGAACCTTTAAAGAATGGGTGAAAGAAGGGAGTCTCAATTGAGACGGAACTCCGGAACCTTTAAAGAATGGGTGAAAGAAGGGAGACTCAAGATTAATTTTAGAGAATGGGTGAAAGAAGGGAGACTCTATTGAGACGGAACTCCAGAACCTTTAGAGAAGGGTTAAAGAAGGGAGACTCAAGATTAATTATCCTTTACAAGGATGAGTTTACCTTTCTAAATCATAAAGACTCAAGCAAGACAAGATAGACGAAACTTCGGAACCTTTAGAGAATGGGTGAAAGAAGGGAGACTCAAGATTAATTATCCTTTATAGGAGAGTAAATCAAAGGAAGAAGGAAGAAGACGAAGACAAGATTCATTCTCCTTCACTTTGAGTTTACCTTTCTAAATCATAAAGACTCAAGCAAGACAAGATTCATGAGATGGAACTCTGGAACCTTTAGAGAATGGGTGAAAGAAGGGAGACTCAATTGAGACGGAACTTCGGAACCTTTAGAGAATGAGTGAAAGAAGGGAGACTCAAGATTAATTATCCTTTACAGGTGAGTAAATCAAAGAAAGAAGGAAGGAAGAAGATGAAGACAAGATTCATTCTCCTTTACAGTTGATTGAGTCAATTAAATCCTCTTCTCGTCTCACTGCTTGCTTCACTCCACCGAATTGAACTGTAAAGTGGCTTCGTTTACCTATTTACCAAGAAAAAGAAAAGAGAGTCAATTCCTTGCAGCAGCGACTGAACTTGAACCTATTCTATTCTATTCTATTCTACAAGGCGCAAGGCACAAGGGCGAGCAGCAAGAGCACCGACGATGGGTCCTTGACACAGGGACAACAAACCATATGACCGGGGCCAGGTCTGCATTCTCTGAGATCGATTCAAGGATTCGTGAGACAGTGAAATTTGGCTACGACTCTATCATTGGAGATCGAGGGGCGTGGCACTTGAGGCTCAAGGCTAACCTTGTGAGACGTGAGTCAACACGATGAGGCCGGTTGCTCACGTGTCTCGCAATGTCATCTTCGATGAAAGCACCTTCTGATAGTAGAACGACGTGACCGAGGTAGACAAGAACTCAAATCAACTCACGGTGGAGTACCTTGACACCGAGCTAAGAGAAAGAGGAGCGCAGCATCGGGAACCGTCACCGCCGCCAGCAGCTGCAACCCCTAAACCAGTGGAGTTTACAATACCACGGACTGCGAATTTGACGCTGGATGCCGATCACGATGATGATCTAGTGGCCAGGTATCGGAGGATGGAAGACCTAGTGGGGGAGGTGATGGAGTTTGCAACACCACGGACTGCAAATTCGATTCTGGATGCCAATCATGATGATGATCTGGTGGCCAAGTATTGGAGGATGGAAGACCTAGTGGGGAAGGTGAACCACCTGAACTGGCGGCCGCAAGCTCGAAGAAGTGGCCGAACTGAATGTCATAAGCGCAGATGACCGAACACCTTCGTCGAAGCAGAAAGGAACCCGCGTTGGCTTAAGGCAATGCAGGAGGAGATGACATCCATCATTGAGAACCAGACATGAAGTTTGGAGGACATGCCGTTGGGACACCAAGCCATAGGGCTCAAATGGGTCAACGTGGAGTTTAGAGGACATGCCTCTGGGACACCGAGCCATAGGGCTCAAATGGGTCTTCAAACTGAAGCGTAATGAAGAGGGAGAAGTTGTGAAACACAAGGCCCGTCTAGTGGCATAGGGATACATCCAGAAGCAAGGAGTAGATATTGAGGAAGTATTTGCGCCGGTGGCAAGGCTGGAATCTATCTGCCTATTGCTGGCAATCACGGCACATCATTCCTGAGAGGATCACCACATAGACGTGAAATTCGCGTTCCTGAACGGAGAGCTGAAAGAGACGTGGAGTTTGAAGGACATGCCGTTGGGACACCGAGCTACAGGGCTCAAATGGGTCTTCAAACTGAAGCGTAATGAAGAGAGAGAAGTTGTAAAACACAAGGCTCGTCTAGTGGCGAAGGGATACGTCTAGGACACCGAGCCATAGGCCTCAAATGGGTCTTCAAACTGAAGCGTAATGAAGAGGGAGAAGTTGTGAAACACAAGGCTCGTCTAGTGGCGAAGGGATACGTCCAGAAGCAAGGAGTGAATTTCGAGGAGGTATTTGCGCTGGTGGTAAGGCTGGAATCTGTCCGCCTATTGCTGGCAATCGCGCACATCATTCCTTGGAGGTCCACCACATGGACGTGAAATTCGCGTTCCTGAACAGAGAGCTGAAGGAGACGTGGAGTTTGGAGGACATGTCATTGGGACACCGAGCCATAGAGCTCAAATGGGTCTTCAAACTGAAGTGTAATGAAGATGGAGAAGTTATGAAACACAAGGCCCGTCTAGTGGCGAAGGGATACGTCCAGAAGCAAGGAGGTATTTCTGTCGGTGGTAAGGCTGGAATATGTCCGCCTATTGCTGGCAGTCGCGGCACATCATTCCTGGGAGATCCACCACATGGACGTGAAACCCGCATTCTTGAACGGAGAGCTGAAGGAGACCGTATATGTTTGACAACCATCGAGCTTTCTAGACAACAACAACCCTGACAAGGTATTATGCCTGCACAAGGCACTCTATGGGCTTCTGCAAGCACCACGAGCTTGGAACGCGAAGCTTGACAGAACCCTACTGTCGCTGAAGTTCAAGCACTGTGCCTTTGAGCATGATATGTACATGCACAACCACAACGAGCAACGACTAATCGTGGGAGTGTACGTTGACGACCTCATAATCACTAGAGGCGACATGGAAGTCCTCTAAAGATTCAAGGGGGAAAAATATCAAAGAACTTCAAGATGAGCGATCTCAACGTGTTCAGCTACTACCTCGGCTTCGAAGTGCAACAGAGTACTGCCGGCATCACCATCTGCCAAAGTACGTATGCAAAGAAGCTGCTGGACACAACTGGACTTGCGGATCATAACCCTACAAGGACGCCAATCGAGGCCCGGCTCCAGCTAAGGAAGGTCGGCACTGCGACGGCAGTCGACGCCACCCATTACTGCAGCATTGTCGAGAGCCTGCGCTATCTGGTAAACACACGCCCTGACCTTACTTATTCCGTTGGATACGTGAGAAAATTCATGGAAGCACCTAGGGAGGAGCATCTTGTGGCTATCAAGCGCATCCTGCGCTATGTGGCTGGAACTAGAGGCTGGGGTGTGTGATACTACGTAGGGAGAGGAAAGGAGAAGCTTGAGCTGATCGGCTACAATGATAGTGACATGGTCGGTGACGTTGATGATCGTAAGAGCACCAGCCGGATGATTTACTTCCTCTTAGGCGGCGTGATCTGCTGGCAATCAACAAAACGAAAGGTAGTTGCTTTGTTTTCCTGCGAAGCAAAATACGTCGCCGCTTCGACAGTGACAACACAGGGGGTCTGGCTTGCGCGACTGATGGAAGAACTCATCAGAAGAGAAGGCGATCCACCAATGCTATACGTGGACTACAAAGCTACGATCTCCCTAATCAAAAATTCAGTTTTGCACGACTGGAGCAAGCACATAGAAATCAGATTCTACTACATCCAAGAATGTGCAGATCGGGGGCTCATCAAGATTGATTTCATCCGAACAGAGGAACTACACTAAAAGATCGGAGTTCAAACAATAAGGTAGATATATACCATAGGGCTTAGGAGAAGATTGTTAGATAAATCCCTAGGTTAAAAATCATTCCTATTTTTTTTAGTTAACCGCAGAATTAAAGTGAGTGGGATTCACATGGAATAACTTTAATTAAGTTGTAATTTTCTTCTCTATTAAAATATGTCAATTGTATGACAAACAATCCATCGAGTCTTCAGCACAGAATAAAACTATTTTCTCCCTCCCTTGTATTTTCCGTTATTTTCTTCTTCAATCAATTTCGGCTTTTCCCTCGTCAATGTTTTCCTCCACAGTCAAACAACAGAGTATTGATGATTAGAAGATGAAAGATTTAAGGGCCAAAAATTATCTTTTTCAAGTATTAGATCGTTCAATTCTAGAAAAGATTCTAAACAAGGATACAGCAAAGGACATATGGGATTCTTTGAAGAAAAAAAATCAAGGAACAACTCTGGACAAGCATGCACAGCTGCAAGCACTTAGAAAGAAATTTGAAATTCTTCAAATGAAGACAGAAGAATCTGTAAATGAATATTTTGCTCGAACACTTGCAATAGAAAATAAGATGAGAGAAAATGGTGAAAGAAAAGGAGACGTTGCTGTTGTTGAAAAGATTTTAAGATCTCTAACTCCCAAAGTTTGTTCCATTGAGAAGTTTAAAAATATAGATACTTTAACCATTGATGAATTACAAAGTAGCTTACTTATTCAATGAGGAACATGCCTTGAAGGTGACAAATGGAGATCAGTTAGGAGGAAGGGGTTGAGGTCGTGGAACTTTAAGAGGAAGGGGACGTGGAAGAGGTAGGAAAAACTTCGAAAAAGCCACGGTAGAATGCTACAATTGTCACAAATTTGGGCATTTTCAATGGGAATGTCCAAGTAAGGATAAAGTGCCAAACTATACAGAGACAAAATAAAGATTTTACTGTGTGGGATTTTGATAATCGGCTAGGGAAATCCTTTTCTTTTCGGTGAGAGGAAATCGTTGACGGGAAGTTGTTAGAAGAAAATAAAACGCGTAAAATAACAAAGAGAGAGAATTGCTGCAATTTTTACTGTGCTTCAAATCAGGTTGTGAAATCTTCTGAAAAGATTTCCTATTTAAATATAACTTATCCTAAAAATGGCTGGAGCGTGGCCAACTAAATCTGTGCCACTTTCTACAAAATTGCCGTCTAAAACTTTGGTAATCCATTTGACGTGTGTTTGTCAAATGGTCAAACAGAGGTATTCAATCAACTAATGAAATCGTGTGAATCTAAATAAGGAAAAACTCAGGTTTTATCTAACAATCTCCTCCTAAAACCTGTGGTATATCTACCTTATTTTGTTTGAACTCCGATTTAAGCCCGGCTCGGTGTCTCTGGCGGCATGTCCTCCCAGGCTCTACGTCTTGTTTGGCCACCTCTTCTTCGAGTTGGCGCGCCGCCTGTCCAAGTGGTTCACCTCTTCCTAATAGGTCTTCCATCCTCCGGTACTTGGCCGAGCGGTTGACTGGTTGCTCTATCTCCAACTCTAGGATGTAAAGGCGATTTGCCGTGCACCGAACTTGCGTGAGCAACCGTCGACGATTATCGCGGATCCTAAGTAGCCCGCACTTGATGGAAATGTGGCAGCCGGCCTTATCGAGTTGACCTAGGCTCACAATATTAGCCTTGAGCCTCGGGATGAAGTAGACGCCGGTCAGCTTGTGATGCTTGCCTCCCTTGCCGATGAACTGGATGGTGTCGTGCCCTTTGATCTCGACGACGGAGCCGTCGCTGAATTTCACCATCCCGTGAATCCCCGAGTCAAGCTCGGAGAACACAGACTTGGCCCCGATCATATGGTTTGTTGCCCCCGTGTCGATGACCCATCATCGGTGCTCTTGCTGCTCGCCTCTTTCACCGATTTGAGCGAACACTCGCTCCTCCTTCAGTTGAATTGGCTCCTCAGCCGATGCCTTTGTTATGCACAATTTGGAGCTCTTTCTCGGGTTTGACGCTCACCGGAGCAGTTATGCTGTCGTTGATTACCTCTGTGGATTCGGGGAGCTCTTCCTCAAGATTAGAGACGTCGGGTAGGACTGATGCAGTCACCATGAAAAGGGTCGGCTCGTCCTCCTCGGATTGAGCCACATGGGCCTTCTCGGTCCTTTCCTTGTTCCTGAGCTTGCTCCAGCAATTCTTGCTCAAGTGACCTCTCTTCCCACAGTACGAGCACTCGATTGGCCCGTCATTAGTCGGCTCCTCCTTCTTTTGATCTGCCTCTTTCCCGCGCATGTGTCGGTGAGATTTCCATGGCTTCTTACCGCCTTTGAGCTGGAGGGCCCATTGCTCTCGCCGGTGCCATCACGGAGCTTTAGGCGTGCAAGTCATTCCTCCTCAGTGAGAAGTAGACGACCCTTCTTGTCGACAGTTGAAACGGTATTTTTCTTCCGCTGCTCGACGTTATGCAGTCTTCCGGTCACCTCTTCTACTGTTAGGTCGTTCACGTCAAGCAATGTCTCGATTGAAATCGCGACTTGCTCAAGGTGATTGGGGACGACCTACAGCATCTTCTTCACAATTTCTGTCTCGTTGATGCTGCCACCGAGAGTAGTGATGCTGTTGGCTAGAGTAGCGTCCTCCTTCTTTTGATTTGCCTCTTTTCCGCGCATGTGCCGACGAGATTTCCATGGCTTCTTACCGCCTTTGCGGCTGGAGGACCCATTGCTCTCACCGGTGCCGTCACGGAGCTTTAGGCGTGCAAGCCATTCCTCCTCAGTGAGGAGTAGACGACCCTCCTTGTCGACAGCTGAAACGGTATTTTCCTTTCGCTACTCGACGTTATGCAGTCTTCCGATCACCTCTTTCACCGTTAGGTCATTCACGTCAAGCAATGTCTCGATTGAAATCGCGACTTGCTCAAGGTGATCGGGGACGACCTGCAGCATCTTCTTCACGATTTCTGTCTCGCTGATGCTGCCACCGAGAGTAGTGGTGCTGTTGGCGAGAGTAGCGTCCTCCTTCTTTTGATCCGCCTCTTTCCCGCGCATGTGCCAGCGAGATTTTCATGGCTTCTTACCGCCTTTGCGGCTGGAGGGCCCATTGCTCTCGTCGGTGCCGTCACGGAGCTTTAGGCATGCAAGTCATTCCTCCTCAGTGAGGAGTAGACGACCCTCCTTGTCGACAGCTGAAACGGTATTTTTCTTCCGTTGCTCGACGTTACGCAGTCTTCCGGTCACCTCTTCCACCGTTAGGTCGTTCACGTCAAGCAATGTCTCGATTGAAATTGCGACTTGCTCAAGGTGATCGGGGACGACCTGCAGCATCTTCTTCACGATTTCTGTCTCGCTGATGCTGCCACCGAGAGTAGTGGTGCTGTTGGCGAGAGTAGCGTCCTCCTTCTTTTGATCCGCCTCTTTCCCGCGCATGTGCCAGCGAGATTTTCATGGCTTCTTACCGCCTTTGCGGCTGGAGGGCCCATTGCTCTCGTCGGTGCCGTCACGGAGCTTTAGGCATGCAAGTCATTCCTCCTCAGTGAGGAGTAGACGACCCTCCTTGTCGACAGCTGAAACGGTATTTTTCTTCCGTTGCTCGACGTTACGCAGTCTTCCGGTCACCTCTTCCACCGTTAGGTCGTTCACGTCAAGCAATGTCTCGATTGAAATTGCGACTTGCTCAAGGTGATCGGGGACGACCTGCAGCATCTTCTTCACGATTTCTGTCTCGCTGATGCTGCCATCGAGAGTAGTGATACTGTTGGCGAGAGTAGCGATTGCTATCCATTTTCTATTCCTTCGATGGAAGGTAAAAACGAATTCCATTGTGGAGCCGTATGCACTGCACAAAGGATGCCTGTACGGTTGTTAATCCTATCTTTTTTATTCTCTTTGACTCATCATGATCATGCGAGATAGAGAAAACCATTTATTAAATCATCAGGGTAATGATCCATCAACCTGCTAGTTCTTTTTATGAGGGACAAACGGGAGAATTGATCCTGGAAGCGGGAGAACTACTGACGCTGCGCGAAACCATCACAAAGGTTTATGTACAAAGAACAGGCAAACCCTTATGGGTTGTATCCGAAGATATGGAAAGGGATGCTTTTATGTCAGCAAAAGAAGCCCAAGCTCATGGAATTGTTGATGTTGTAGCGGTTGAATAAAAAATAGCGGGGATTTCACGCAAAAATCCGAAATTTGAGATTTTCTCTTCTTACCGGGGGTTAATATAATATTTTCTATTACTATTAATCCTATTAATTATTAATATCGAATATAGAAGTAATTCATAATCATCCGGTTAGGATTGATCTAAACCAACTCATTATGTATACAATTCAACATGCCAACTATTAAACAACTTATTAGAAACACAAGACAGCCAATCAGAAATATCACCAAATCGCCCGCCCTTCGGGGATGCCCTCAGCGTCGAGGAACATGTACTAGGGTGTATGTGCGACTCGTTCAGACCATGGACCGGGACAAAAGAAAGTACAAAATTTTTCCCGTATCAGTGATAAATACCAGTGAATAGGATAGAATGAATGGAAGAACTCCGTTCACTACCTAAAAATAAATAAAA